TTAGCGAAATGGCAGAGACTAGAATTTCTTTTTCCCAAGAAATCACGGAATTTCTTAAAGATAAAAGGATCGGATATGGCGCGGAAAATCAATGTTCGGCTTAGCCATTTTACTCAGGTGTTCATTTGAATCCTATATCTTTCACGTATTTCCCAATCTATAAAAAAAAGCTACATCTGCTAGCTTGCTATAAAAGCTTCATATCTACAAGCTCATTTTTATCTTGCCATACAAATCCCGACAAATGTACGTATCCCGAAGCTTTTTGCTACATTGCATTGAAATTCTTAATTAATTAATTAATTAATTAATTAAATAACTAACCATAGTTATTCTAAGCTAAACTAAAAATTTAAACGAAATAAACGCACGACGTTACACATTTCAAGCTCTGGTTGTGTTAGTATTACATGAATCCGAAGTTATTTTGAAAATGTCTATCAAATATTATTGATGTCACCACACACGTTAGTAGGTATTGGTTCGATTGATTAGAATTCCTGGCAAATTTATGTGATCATGGTTTTGATATAATTATGTGGTCGTGTTTAGGAAACGAAAAAAAAAGTTAAAAAAAAGTCCGCTGAGATTGATACGCATGATCATCAGCTTAGTAGGCAAAAACGGTGTACCGAGCTCCGTACATAACAGCAAAATGGCGTTTAAGCCCAACGACATGAAGCTATTCAAATAAAAAAAAATGTCGCCGGAGAAAGTTACCTATTATTTCAAACTCAGCATATGTCATGTTTTACCGAGAATGTCACTTTTTCCACATAGTTTTGACTGAGTTCCATATGAAATGATTTTCTATATTTACTTCTACCAAAGAAAATAAAAATCTATAATGGGAAGGATGTATTTAACTAAGATTTTCTGCTCAGTATACTAAAACGGTGGCTACTAGACCACCGAGAATTTTACGCGACACAAAATGACTATAAACCACGGTCGTTCAAGCTCGGAGATATCAAGTTAACGCTTTAATATGATGGAGCCTGAGATTAAATCCATGTTATCTTTTACTCAAATTCAAAAACGGTTACTACAAGACATTCAGCCACTCATATAACTTAAAAACTACTACGATGAAACACACTTGATCCTGTGTTAGTATCACTGTTCAAATCCGGTTATGACGATGACTGTCACCCAACATCATATCACTTTATATTTGCTTAAAATCTCTCATCGATAAAGGGACTTACATTACTTACTAGCACAGTCGAGCAATAACAGTATGCTTGCCGTGGAGTGTAAAAGAGACATTATTTTGATGAATTCGAAAATCAAAATACTTGCAGGGCACACCGTCACCATTCACTATAATTTTGTCGGGTATGGTATTCCAAATAAACTCAAAACTGGTAGCTGCTTCATTGTTGAACTTAAGACAGTTACAATGATCGTTATGAGAGTTGGGTGTGATACAATTCAGCAGGGTAGTATGACTTTTTTGACGTAGGACTACCTGTGATCTGAAATATGTCGACGCATCTGTTAAATTTAGAAATTTATCATTTTTCAAAATATCACTTTTAAAAATTGCACGAATGTGCAACTGTTACTATAATAGTAAAAATTATCACAGATTGCCTGCGAAAAGCGATTTCCCTAACACAGATTTCAAAGTTGAATTCCATCTGGTTTATCCAAACGGCGTTTATTCAATCACCACGTGGTGAGTGGTGATGTTCTCCAGTACACAACGAAAGGCTGCCTGCAAGCAGCGAGCTGCAGCCCAGATGAGCATCTATAGAAGGAGGAAGAAGCCGCACCGCTATTGATAGGAATCAGTAGCTCTTCGTGAGTCGCTGTGGCCCATATATGTCAAGCGCGTCGTACTCAAGAGTATAAACAGAGACAACCCCGCTCAAATTCTTATTACTACACTAAACACAAGCTCCTGCTGCAGTTAACAAATGAGGTTTATTATATAAGACCACGTAGTCCTTATAGGGCTGTCCCTTGTAGTTCTTTTTCATACTTTTTTAAAAGGACTATTTTCACCGTCTTCAATCACTCTATTGTATAGACTGAACACTTATCACTAGACTACGGACAACACATAAGGGAACATGCATAAATGACGTAGCATTTGAGGGGGGAGGTGGGGGTTTCAGAATTTGTGACCGGCCATGTATTGGATATAGCCAAATACGCTACGAAGGGGGGAGGAGGGGTCTACAATTGATCAAAAATATGCTACGTCATTTATGGATGCTCCCTAACACCCAGTAGATCAGTAGAGAAATCAACTTTTTTTTTAAAGTTCCACTGGCTGGAGCGGGAGCCGAGCTTTCTCTTCGTAGCATACACAATACGCCTGGATGACACCGCTAACCGCATGACCAGGATGCCTACCAACTACACTAGTTTTCACCATATTTGAACTTTGTACGCTGATTTCCCATGTAAAATCGTGCGTTGAATCTCAGTACGATTCAAAAAATAAAAATAAAAATAAGTCATACCTTCAGCTAAAAATTCACAAAAACTTTACTAGCACTCTGGCATTTTCCCTAAATCTATCATAACTTCCACGACTTCCAACTATAAGAATATGCAAAATAATTAAACTAAAAATCCACAAACTTTTAATTAACAATAACACCACTAACCTTACTGACAAATGGTGTTCAGTTGATCGAAAGTAAATTACCTTATCTGTATTTTGAAAACTATCCAACTGAGATTTTTTCAACTACATCTTTGGATTCAGTGCACGATTTAACATTGATGTTCATGCCTTTTTTTTACTTTTATTTGTAAACTAGTGAGTCAATCAGCAATTGTTATGAAAATATCAATAACTGTGTGGTATTTTTTTGGTATTGGAATGGTATTTTTTCCCTTTGATTTGTTTTCCGTCGATCTTGTTTTGAGTGCTGAGCGCACCATTGCTACCGACGCCAGGGAGGCAGTGCCCACACCTGGACCCTACCTATCGACCCATCAACTCATGAATCGTGGATCAACGGCTTTACTTCCCTAGGCGTGATCAGAGATGTTATGCCTCAAAACATCCCGGCGGCGCCGACTGGGATTAAACCCAGGCCTGCTGGGGTGAGAGGTAATCACGCTTACCACTACACCACTGGCGACTGGAATGGTATTGTGGAAACATTTGTTTGGCATTATGTCAGGCTAATCCATACCGATTTAAGGTATCGAGATATTCGTTGCTGCTCGGGTAGTGTTCGGAAAGTCATTCTCAAATCTTATTAATATAAGAAAGTCGTGAGAATTTTGCAAACAAATCTCACTCTTGAGATTCTCATTACATCCATAACGCCAAAAACTCACCCCAACTTGAAACTTATAAATACCGCATAATCGTCAATCGATAGATGCAATTAGTGTTTGAACTTGAAAACACATCGGAGATTTTAGCGCAGTTGAATTTTGCAAGGCAAGCAACATGAAAAAAATCTTTACATCTTTACAGCGGAATCGGCTCGTATTGGTAATTCAGCGCCAGCCAATTCGGACTCTTTTCGCATCTACAATCCCAAACATCGTTTAACATTATGGCTATCGCCGTATCGGAGACCCCCTAGCATGAAGGTAATTCAATAGAAATATCGTCCATAGGAACATTAAATTTTTCAATTATAATTCTCCCTATCAACTGATAATGCTTCGACTGATTACTAATGGTCTAATCACTTGTCTGAATCCAGATTCTAATTTGGCGGATATTTCACAGTGGGATGAGGTTATGTTAGATTCAATCATACTAATGGTCAAAATTAAGCTTGCCCGGTGGAGGTAATTGGATGTTAGAAGGCCAAACTGCAAGGATTCTGATTCCAGCATATTTCAATCATCCAGCAGCCATTCGATTGAATGATAAGTCTTTGCTTGCAGAGGGTGGAGCCAAACATCGTAAAAAATAAACATCAAGTGCGACGCTGATTTCTTAATGGTGGGTCAGAGTGTTTGAAATTGGTAATTCATTCCGACTGGCAGTATGGTATGTGCTTGATTCTTAATTGCTATAATTAATCATTCAGTAAACTTGCTTGGACACTTGGAAATCGCGCTTGCCACCTAGCATGAAGGGAACAAAAATCAAGGCGAATTGAAGGGAAGGAGAAAACAATTTTCATTTTCTTCACGTTCCGATAGCGTCGTGTTGTTTCTTGCTCAATCACACGCTAATTGGTGCAATATCGTTCAAATATAAGGGAGGAACCGTTTATGCAAGGAAGGTAGATCGCATTTGGACAAGAAACTGTGCGGATGTCGTTGGAAGCGGGGATAATTTTGGCGATGGTTGGATCACATTGGACATGTTCTAGTTTTGACCAAGGTTCTTATTCAACTTTTCGTATATTCTTTCAAAATTGTTGCTGGAAAAGCAAAGTTTAATAAATATGTTAAAGTACGTCTACTGCTGTTGTGCTATGGAACTAATTGGTGTTACAATTTTTACACTAGTGTCTAGTCGCAAAGTAAAAGCTAATGCAAACAAACTCTGAAGCAAACTATTTCTAAAATTGAAATAAGGCTTTTACACCGCTTTTATATCCAGCACGAATTACGCTTACAAATTGAATATTAAAACATAGTTATTTAAAAATGAGGCGAGCTTTTTTTATCCAAAATCAGCTGCATTCAAAATATTCATGAACCCAGACATTTCATTTTTGATTCATTAACATATTCCCCTTTACTACATACTAAATATGTCTGATTAACATGGACGATACTATGATTTAATTCTGTAGTGTGAGCTTTTATTCACAAGAAATCGGCGATTGATATATTTTTTTTTTTCAAAAGTAGTTGCTCCCTTTTCTCAAATAACTTCAGTTTGTGAGACCAAACCTTAAAGCACTCGATAATCCATTGTTGATTACAACATTAATCACGATTTGTTCAAGTTATTTCTATAGGTGGCACGACGGGCACGACAAGTTGATTGTCAATTAATCGGAAAGTCATTTGTAGTCATAGCTGGAAATATATAAATATATATGAGGATAAAAGTATACTCACCAATTATTAACTTGTAATATCGTCAGTCCTGTATCCTGTGCTAACTGCTTTTTCTGGTCTTCTGAGGGGTAGGGGTGCTGTAAATGGGATAAAGAAAAGCATAAGGAAAAAGTTTGTTATTTTAAAACGGAACATATATAAAATTGGTCACGTGTCAAATTATTAGTATGAAGAGATGAGTATCATTGCTGTAATAATAAATATTTGCACAATTGTGCTATACACATGCACTTCGACACTACCAAACCGGAGCATTAAAAGTGCAGAGACCTTATGATTGACAAGCGTATGTATTTTGTTCGACTGTCTTATGCCTTTCTCACACTCAATGCCTATATTTTTTAGTAGGTTTGTCTATGGTACCCTCTTTTTGAATGCATCCAGTCAGAACTAACCTTGCCGAACTTCCGAAAAAAAAAAACGATAGAGTAGGCCATGGGTGAACGAATAAGACGTGTGAGTTGACGATGATTTGTTCTACTCCGCTGGCATAATCAGCATTCGAGAGTGGAAAAAAGATTCGCAAAATAAGGGTTGCATTTCACCATTGACTTGACAGGTCCATTGTTCTCACATCTCTCGGTCTTGTGCTTTTAGAACGGAACTTCATCGGTGGTTGCTGATGGCGACTTGTGTTTTCATTTGTTTGTATTTTGAGAAGTGTATATTTGCGCAACAATAAAACACCCACATCTGGCGGAAACGAATTTAACCGCATCGTTTGGGCACCCGAGGCTTTTCTGTTTGATCCCTTTGTTTACCTCATCTTGTACAACCCCTTATTTTGCTGTGTTGTACATATTTGCTGTAATTTGACATTAGAATAGAAGTCGATTGTGTGTGTGTTTAAATCTTGTACAGAACCAATTGGCATCCTTTCTATTAAACGCTAGATACACGAAACATCTACGTGATTATTATATTTTAGTACCAGCCCTATGTATTTCTTCGTATGAAAAATAAAGTATTTTTGCAATTTTTTTATGGTTGTTTTACATTAAAACATCTTCTATAGGCGTTTTGACATGCAACTTCGAATCACATCATTCATGATGTAAAGTATATTCTTTATACATCTTTCTTTCTTTTCTTTGGCTAAATTACGTTCCCACTGGGACTTTACGCCAGCTCTCAACGTAGTGTTCTTTGAGCACTTCCACAGCTGTAAATTGAGAGCTTTCTAAGCCTGTACCATTTTTGCATCAGCATGTTGCGTACACACAAATTCTAGTCGCAGGGAAGTCAAGATATTTTGCAACCCGCAAAATTCCTAGACAAGACCAGGAATCGAACCCAGTCGCCTTCAGCATGGTCTTGTTTTATAGCTGTGCCTTTACCGACTCAGCTAGTGTCAAATATATACCAGTCATCTACGAAAAATCGGCACAATCGATTGGAGCACAGCCAAGAAATAGCGGTGGGTGCACTACACCATTCGTGAGATTCCTGTAGGTGCAAAAAAAAAGTCTGCATCAGTTAAAATACGGAAAAACAGATCATTTTATAGCAGCACGCTTAGTTGTCAGTTGTCACAAACTATACTGTGGACTCGAAGGTGTACAAGCAAGAGTGCCTAAAAATCACATTCTACCGTGCATTTGACATTTTACATTGGCATACAAAGGACCTGTGTAGGTTTGACCAGATTTGACAGTTTGTTATGAGGTTTTCGGAGGTTTGTTATAAAGAAAGTTGAAGACACTTTCAAGGTGCAGGTTGTCTTGTAAGGGGTTGAAAATTCTTTTAAATAAAACTCTTAAAATTAAATGCACGCTTTGCTGCTTACAAAGCGTATTTATGGCGGATCGAAGGCTTGTTGCACGAGAATAGAGTTTTTATGCCATTGGCAAGAACATGATAGATACTTATAATAAAACTTTTATGAAGAGGAGTTGGTCTAGTTAGGAAGTAATAAGTCTACCACGCCAAGGACCAGTGTTCGAATGCCATGCTAATTTTTTTTTTGCCGCTGGTTTTTATGATGTTTCCAAAACATATTTATAAGCTCCGTATCTTGCGCTTTTTATGTTGTCTAAATGTATTAAATGATGTTTATTAAAGTATTATTGATTCTTATTATTATGTTTGAGTAATTTTATAATGACATTTCCTTTCATTAACCGTCGCTGCTACTTCTATAAACCTCTTCGCTGACTTCTTCCGAACCGTGGATCAGGCTCCACTACCTCAGCAATTCATCGATAACCTACCCAGATTTGATATTTGTCTGCAGCAGCAAAATTTCTGTCATGACGCTATCCGCAAAGCCTTCTGTTCTATAGACGATTCAGACCTCGGTTATATATATATATATATATATATATATATATATATATATATATATATATATATATATATATATACATAAATATTGATTTTGGGTTATGCTTCATGATTACGAAGTTCCAACTGACCTCAGCTTAGTTATTCAATTAATACTTCAACAGTTGTTAAATCAGACCTTCTAAACCTGTATCATTTTAATACTAATAGGATAGGTGTACCAGATATGATTATACGTTCCTATTATGGTGTGTTCCAATTATGACCCACGAATTCTCATATATCACAATTGGAACACACCATAATAGGAACGTATAGCTATAAATGGTACACCTACCGTACATTGATACTCTATGCCCCAGAGAATTCGAAACATTTTCCAACCAGGAAAGTTCCGGATCAGAACTCAAACCTATCTCCAGTCATCTCCAGCATGGCCTTACCGAGCTAAGGGAGGCCTTTGACTGCGAGGCTTGACTCAGCTCACTTTATTTAAATGCATGTTTTCCTGCAACAAATGATAAGGTACTGCGTGAATAAGAAGAGTGTGATCATCGCGTAGTTACAGTTTCATGCTGCATCACACCGTAATAAAATTAATTTGAAAATTGAATCTGCCTGCATATATGGCACTTTTCATCCTTTGGACGAAGGGTTTGAAGTGTATCACAAGCTGTAGCAATAGTTCTTGATGGAAAAAACGGCTAGCAGTGCAGTGTTGAATCTGGGGTTTGTGATATGATTTGGTCTTGTAGGAGAACACGGTTGCATAGGGTAATTGGTAATACGTTGTGGAAAGTGGTAATTGTGAATTATCTCTGACTAGAACATTTATCTACGGCGGTGGTGCACTTTGTTTTTGATGGTATGATGAGAACGAGTACCGCCGCAGAACCAATGATACGACCATCGTCTGTAGAGAATGGACCATGTGAACTTTGGGGCTGGAAGGTTGAGGACCATTTTGGAATAGTTCGTATGGCGTTCGAGTATTTCATTTGGCCAGTTTGAGCTGAGATAAAATGAACCATTCCGTAATCCAACACGACGGAATAGCGGCAGCACGTGTCATAAAATGATGTTTCAGCGCCAGGAGGGGAGCTAGAACAGACACGTCACAATGTTCCTAAATGGATACGTTCAAGGGAAAGAGCAGAGAAAACTGTTGGAAAATAATTAAAGCGAAAATTCATCGTCAATTTGTGACATTCTCTAATACCCCCAGCAACATGGACGGTGCCGGAGTAGACTAGAGTTTTGAATCTGGCAATGATAAACACTAGCTTCCATTGCATTGGACTACGGAACAAGAACGTCTTTCTGCTGTTACAGTCGACCAGTAGGAAGAGTCAAAAGTGCAATAAATATTGGAGAAGACTGAAATAAATGGCCCATGCCAATCACAACGGCCGAGAGACCAAGGTAAATGCTATATGTGCTTCGTTGCGTCCTCTATCGACACTGATGGCCGATGAGGCTAAATTCACTGGTGTGCTCATAACGACGAACTGTATAATGTAAGTATGGTTCACACTACGATGACGAAGAACGAACCTGCTCAATAATGTCACTCTTATGGAAAATACGAATTCCATATTCAGATGCTTCCTTTATGTCACGAACATGTGTTATAAAATGTCCATTTTAATACAATTAATAATGATGACTTCAGAATTTCATATATTACTTTTAAGCGATCGAAACGTTTTCTATTGACAAGATGCTGACATAACGTAATGTTACTTTTGATTCAACATGACTTATGTTACAAGCGTTCTATTTACGTGATTAGAATAGTTCAAACCTCGAGCGCTTTTGTCGATGATTATTGGAACCTTAATTACGTCCAATATGAATAAAGTTGCTGCTACGTCCTATTTGATTGGATACGATAACTGGCTGTTGAAATTGCACGCAATAGAAAGCTTGCAGCTGATAATTTCCTCTACAATAATTTGATATTTATCTTCGGTCTGTCGTATCTAAAATTGAACTGCTCTTGTGCTTGATAGTTTGCATGAAGAGAAGTGTTGCGCCAGCGGTACTCTGCTATCAAAAACTAATTTATTTTGAAATCAAAACGCCACATTCGACTATGTTTAGATGCATAGTATTCTCCCTATTGGTTTGCTTAATTGGCACCACGCAAATCGAAGCTTACTACTGGAGATTTCGAAGCATATGGGATTTCATATAATGGTTCAAAATATAACGCTTCGAAGGGACTCTATAAGAATATGTAAAAGATAATATAAATTATTTGGACCTGGATCAATTGAGCTTATCTAGGGATGCACAGTGGTCGGAGATTGAATTGTGTATAAACTATTGACATAATCAAAAAAGTGTCTTCAAAGGAATTTTCCACTTAAATATTGTCCAAGATTCTACAATTTCAAAAATGTATCATGGTCTACTATGGAAAAAATAATTAAAAACCTGAATTTATCCCTTAGAGTGATAGATTACTTCTTTCTTCTTACAACTTTAAAATCTGAATTTTTTTGCAGATAACAATTTTCTTTGTCTAATAGTTTTGGATATATGATCATTTTTCTGTGGTTACCCCTTTAAATTAATTTTTAAGGGGAAGTTCACCGCTCCGAAAAAAAAATACATACGCAATGATTTTTCTAAAAATATTGAAAAAAAAAGTATCAAAAATCTAAACAAAAATCACATTTTTTTTCTAATTTTTTAAAGAAAAAACATGCAAACGTGCAAAAACATTTTTTATACGTAATTATGGCGTAAAGTTGGACTCAAAAAACCACAAAACATCGACTTTTCGGTT